ATTATTTTATTTCCTTTGATTTCTAGTGTGTACACACATCTTCCCGGGTCCCGCCCAGAGACCTAAGGTTAGGAATGACATCCACTAACCAATTAAAAAAAACACACATATTTTAAATAGACAAAGCCCTTCGTAAGGTGTGTGCTGTCCTGGTGAGAACAATGTTTTGTATTTCTTTAAGGCATGGACTTCCAGAAATCTCTTTAATGGAATCAATTCAATTGGTTGGAATCTTTTCCAACCATTCCGAGGGCTCCAACTACAGCAGGAATTGTTGATGTTCCCATGTGCCACATTATTATTATTATTATTATTATTATTATTATTATTATTATTATTGTGCATGAAATGTTTTTGTGGCTTGTTGTGTAATGGATAACGGCACCGAGTTCGGATTCCTGTCGAGTTAACTAGATTCACTTACGCATAAATCCCCACCCCTGGGAAAGGTATGAATCTATCTTTTCTATTCCCCCCCAGCTATGGGTTGAATAGCAGAATAGAATAGGTTCTTTAGCCTTGGTTTGCAACCAATCCATCGCGGAAAGAAATCCAAATCAAATGAAAAACTTTTGTTCAAGATGTAGCGAAAAGACACATGATTGTCCATAGGTGTACAAGTATGGAAATGAAGTGACTATTTTGAGGAATTATTTTGAGCTTGACAATCCAAATCAAATGTACTTTTGAGATGTTAGGGAATGGCAAAAACAAGTATTGAAAAACTGGTTTGAGGAATTATTTTGATTTGTCCCTTCAAAAAGACATTAGGAAGAGCAAAAAATCGATTTTATTGCTCAAAATTTTGATTTTGTTGTGATTTGTCCCTTGCAAAAAGGCCACAAAGCTGACATCGATTTTTTCTTTTATTTTGATTTCTTTCTTTCTTTCTTTCTTTCTTTTATTTTTCTTATTTATTTTTTTTTTCTTTCTTTTATTTTTCGATTTTCTTTTCTTTTCTTTTCTTTCTTTCTTTCTATTTTTCTTTCTTCTATTTTGCATTCTTTTTTTTTTTTTTTTTTATTTTGCTTTCCTTCTTTATTCTTCATTTTCTTTATTTTATTTTTCCTTCTTTTATTTTACTTTTCGTTATCGTTTTATTTTTCTTCCGACAATTTTTTATTCCTTCTTTCTCTTTTACTTTTCTTTCTTTTGTTTTCCTTTCTTTTTTTTTTCTTTTTCTTTTCTTCTTTCCTTTCTATCTATCTATCTATCTATCTATCTATCTATCTATCTATCCTATCCTATCCTATTCATATCTGTCTATTCTATTCTATTCTATTCATATCTATCTATCTATCTATCTATCTATCTATCTATCTATCCTATCCTATCCTATCCTATTCATATCTGTCTAATCTATCCTATTCTATTCATATCTATCTATCTATCTATCTATCTATCTATCTATCTATCTATCTATCTATCTATCCTATTCATATCTGTCTAATCTATCCCACTCTATTCATATCTATCTATATATCTATCTATACTATTCATATCTGCCTATTCTATTCATATCTATCTATCTATCTATCTATCTATCTATCTATCTATCCTATCCTATACTATCCTATTCATATCTGTCTAATATATTCTATTCTATTCATATCTATCTATCTATCTATCTATCTATCTATCTATCTATCTATCTATCTATCCTATTTTATTCTATTCATATCTAATCTATCTTATTCTATTCATATCTATCTATCTATCTATCTATCTATCTATCTATCTATCTATCTATCTATGTATCTTTTCTCTTCCTTTCTTTTTATTTTCCTTTCTTTTATTTTCCTTTCTTTCTTACGTACTCGCTTTACAGTTTGCTTTATTTATCGATTCTTGCTTTCTTTCTTTTATTTCGCTTTCTTTCTTGATTTCTTTCTTTCTTGCTCTGATACACCAATTGACGATGATGATACTTTAAAACATAAAGCATCCTAAAAGTAAGTGACGACTCGGATGATGAAGATATGAAAAAATGTCCCAAATGGCAGACTCATCCTGAACTTATAATAGCATCAGAAAATACGCAAACATAGAAAAGGAATATAAGGCAAGGATGTGTCTTCTCGCCGGACTTGTTCAACCTTTACATTGAGACGATACCGAGAGAATTAGAAATCCTACCAGGATTCACTATTGACGACCACAGTCTTGACAGCATAAGCTATCCAGATGACACGGTATTGATAGCAGTCACAGAAAGGAAAGGAAAAAAAAATGCCTTGGAAAGGTATTAAGGGAAAGCAAGAAGAAAGGACTAACTATCAATTGCAAGAAGATAGAATGTATGGTTTTCATACAAAAAAAAGGCTAAGATGCGAATATGAAATCGGAGACGCCAGAATCAAGCAAGTACAAACATTTACATATCTTGGTTGTGTTTTAACAGAGGACGAAAAATTTGACACCAAAATCCAAAGGCACATTGGAATAGCAAAAGTTGCCTTCCAAAAGCTAAGCAAAGTATTAAGTGAGTAAGACAGAATATATCACAACATTCCCTGAACCCTCCGAGTTGAAGTCATTCAATAATAAATCCATCAAAAGAGTTTAGGACTTCAAATATCTTGGACATCACATAATAGATTCCCATAAAGACTTCAACATCGGCAAAGCTGTTGCATGAAAATCATGTAAAAAACTTCACAAGACTTGTCGCTCGAACCTTCCATCTTCCTTAAGAGTTCAAACCTTTCGAACATTGACTGAACCAGTGCTACTGTATGGATCAGAAACTTGGACATTATCTGCTATTCTTGAAAGACGACTGGATGAAACATATACGAATCTTCTTAGAAAAATCCAGAACCTCAGCGGGAGATCCTATCCAACGCTTAACACAATTTACGGATAACTGAGATTAATCTCTCAAAAGGAATTGTAGTTTGCCAGCCACTGCCACCGAGCGGACAGAAGTGTCGTCTCATCTTTACTTCTATGGCATCCTTCTGGAGATGTCTTCTTGCGAAAGTTGACTTTCCCCAGACACCATGGCTTGGGACTCAGGGTCGGACATTGGGCATCTGGGGACGACAATGTAGGACAGAACAGGACCGAGCAATGTAGAAAGGGACTGTTAATGGAGTTTCGACAAGCCACAATGAGGTCGAAGGATGATGGTGATGATGATTAAGAAAAAGGGAAATTTTGTTAGAAACAAAGAAAATAGCGATGAACTATTATGTAATATCGGCCTTCCTTTTATGACAGTAAATACTGGACAATCTTCTTCTTATTAATTACTATAAAAGGCAGGAAGTTGGGAAGAGCCACGATCACACATGTACCGAAGAAGAAGACTCATCAGAAGATAACATATATAGATAATCTTACTTATTATAAAACGCAGATTGTGTGTGTGTGTGTGTGTGTGTGTGTGTCTGTAGGTTTATATATGGGATCGGATTTCCTACATTTTTCAACCGATTTCAACAAAACTTCACTTTTTTGTTTGGCAGGTAGTGTTTCTTATTGTCTTGCACACTTTTTTCTTTATTTTTACATTCAGAATGCTTTAAAAATTCCATTTACAAGACAATTGTTTATAATAAAATTCTATTCAATCGATAAACTTATAACGATTGAAAACAATGATTTTGTTTGAGTTTGGGTTTTACAAATTCGTAAAAAAAAAAAAAAAAAAAAAAATTAATTAAGACATGCGTGTCCGTCAACCTTAAACAATAATCTTTGTCAATTTCATTTTTCAGTCTTTATGATGGTCGATACTTGATCTATCTCTTACTGTTACATCCCCGGGCAATGCCGGGCTCTACTGCTAATTATAAATAAAAATGATTCTGTATATTAAATAAGAATACTTGACGTTTGTAAAATTTTTTGACTTTATTGAACGTCTTAGTGATTTTATCATTCTATCTTCTAGCATCTTCGAATCAACTTCATAATTCTATCCTCCCAGAACTTTTGGTGCAGGCACCTCGGATTGGAGATGCTTAGCTAAGCTAATTATCACTAATGACTTCGAGCCTCATCTGGAGCCCTATACGAAAAATTAAACTCAACATTAAATAACCTAAGGCTGACATGTGTAAATAAACCAACAACTGTTTATCGTTGTTGGCAAAAAAAGCTAAAATGAAATAAAAATAAAATGAATAAAATAAAATAAAATAAAAATAAAATAAAAATAAAAATAAAATAAGATAAAAATAAAATAAAAATAAAATAAAAATAAAATAAAAAATAAATAAAATGAAAAAAACAAACTAAAAATAAAATAATATAATAAAAAAAATAAAATAAAAAAAATAAATAAAATAAGTTAAAATAAAATAAGTTAAAATAAAATAAGTTAAAATAAAATAAGTTAAAATAAAATAAAATAAAATGAAAATGCTCTAGATGCCGTTTGGGATCTTCCAGGAAATTTAATTTTTTATTTTCATTTTTTTAAGAGAATCCCCCTCCTTCACTAAAAAGCGGACAAATCGAAATTAATGTTAATCTAAAGGTGCAACATTTACTGAATTCGAAGGATGAGTGGACAGTTCTCTACAAAATGCTGGCGAATTTTGCCAAGACCCCAAATAATTCAAACAATTGTATTCGGGTCAAAGTTCGTAGTGAAGCTAGCAAAAATAACCGAAGACTAAAATGGATATGAACAGATTTCGGAAGAAAGAGAGAAAGAAAACAAAATAAAAGAAAGAAAGAAAGAAAAGAAAGAAAAATAAAAGCAAGAAGGCAACATGAAAGAAAGAAAGAAAGAAAGAAAGAAAGAAAAATTGTATGACTTTAGCAAAAGTAAAAGAAAGAAAAATGTAGGATTTTAGCATTGTAAAAGAAAGAAAGAAAGAAAGAAAGAAAGAAAGAAAGAAAGAAATGCAACCAGAGTGAAAGAGAAAAGAGTTTAGTGTCATTTTCATTTCATAATCAGCAGCAATTAAAGAAAGGATATTTTGGAGATAAGGAATGGCCGTTAATCCCATTGAAAGGTCATTTCAGTCTATCTCCCAATATTCACAATGGCAATAGCTTTTCGTCAAGACTTGTTTCTTTTCTCTCTTCAGCTGTCAAAATGGTGGACAAGGTATTTTTTTTTCCCCTTTTTTAATGATGTCGGCAATAAGTAAGGAGTTTGGTTTACTTCCGGCCGGAAATGCTTTCCCAGCATGCGTTCAGCCCTGTCATTACACAAGCAAACAAAATCAGTAGGCGAAAAAATTACCACAGAATAGTCTGCATTAATTGGTGCCGGCCATTTAAAAAAAAAAAAAAAAAAAAAAAAAAAAAAAAAAAAAAAAAAGTTCAACATGCGGAGTTGCGATTACGTTTCTGCTCGGAAATTCTTTCTTTCTTTCTTTCTTTCTTTCATTATGCTTTCATTTATTATACTTTCTTTTATTATACATTCGTCCTTTTTTTATTACGCTTTCTTTCTTTTATTATGCTTTCTTTCTTTCTGACGTTCTTTCTTTCTTTTATTATGCTTTCTTTCTTTCTGACGTTCTTTCTTTCTTTCTTTCTTTTAATATGCTTTCTTTCTTTCATTATGCTTTCATTTATTATACTTTCTTTTATTATACATTCGTCCTTTTTTTTATTGCGCTTTCTTTCTTTTATTATGCTTTCTTTCTTTCTGACGTTCTTTCTTTCTTTTATTATGCTTTCTTTCTTTCTTTCTTTCTTTTAATATGCTTTCTTTCTTTCATTATGCTTTCATTTATTATACTTTCTTTTATTATACATTCGTCCTTTTTTTATTACGCTTTCTTTCTTTTATTATGCTTTCTTTCTTTCTGACGTTCTTTCTTTCTTTTATTATGCTTTCTTTCTTTCTGACGTTCTTTCTTTCTTTCTTTCTTTTAATATGCTTTCTTTCTTTCATTATGCTTTCATTTATTATACTTTCTTTTATTATACATTCGTCCTTTTTTTATTACGCTTTCTTTCTTTTATTATGCTTTCTTTCTTTCTGACTTTCTTTCTTTTACCATTGCTAAAATCCTAAATTTTCTTTCTTTTACTTTTGATAGTCCTACATTTTTTCTTTCATTCTTTCTTTCTTCTTTCTTTCTTCTTTCTTTCTTTCTTTCTTTTGTTATGCTTTCTTTCTTTTATTATACATTCGTTCTTTTTTATTACGCTTTCTTTTATGATTTCTTTCTTACTTTTACTGTGCTTTCTTTCTTTTATTATGCTATCTTTCTTTTTTATTATACTTTCTTTCTTTTATTATGCTTTCTTTTTTATGATCTTTTCTTTCTTTCTCTCTTTTATTTTCATTTCTTTCTTTTTTCTTTCTTCTTTTTATTTTTCTTTCTTTTATTTTGCGTACTTTTTTCTTCCTTTCTATTTTTTCTTTCTTTTCTTTTTGCTTGCTTGATTTCTTGCTTCCTTACTGCATCTTCTCTTTCATTCTATGATCAGGTGCCAAACTAAGCAATTTAGTAAAAATATACGGTTTGCTCGTCTTGAGATAACGGCTAACTAGTTAGTCGAGACCAGGCATCATTTAATGCGGAGAGAGTACCTTCACGTAAGGTACTTTTTCAGTTTTATATCCTTTCAGCACATCGGCGATAAGGATTCTCCACAACTTCATGTCTATTGTTACTCACACATCTTTGACTTCACATCTTCATCTTTGTGATTCTTGCTCTGCAAATCATTTACTCGAAATTCTTAGGTAGATTACTCGCAGTTTTCACCTGCTTTACAAGACTTCATTAAACATTGTAAATTGTAAATTCTCCAAGCCTTCCTACCGTATTATGTGTCTCCAGAATTTTAACTAACTTATTCTGATTATTAGCAAGGGTTTCTTTGTAGATTTTTGTTCGTCTTAAAGCTTCCTACTTTCTCACATGCTTTGGTCATGGTATTCTCGACATTCGTCCGGAGAACAACATTTTAAACGTTCAAAGTAATTTTTTTTTTCATTTTTGACGACATTATCCAGCATTCACGTCTATATACAGGGTACAATGGATAAATTGTCGTCTAAATTACATAAAAAAATGAATATAACACTGACGTCTCATTTTAACATATATTTGCCAAAATTACAGAAAATATCTTGAAATACTAAAAAGTAAATTTATTCAATATAACCACGACTTCCAGACGACTTCGAAGTCTCCTGCTAATACGAAGACATATTTAGTTCAATCATGATAGAGCATATGGCAAATATAATATATATATATATATATATATATATATATATATATAAATGAAAAGAACAGTAAGATATATAATATATATATAAAAAAAATTGTTACCTAATAATATACATACTTATACTTGATGTGAAAATAATTATACATACTGTAAGGGATTCTAATACATTTACTTGTTCTTAAAAGAAATATAGTATATTAAAAATTAAAAGTGAAAACATTTTTCAAATCGTAGTTAAATAAAACGTATTCTAACCTAACCACCCCACCAGAAATTTTTAAATATACAAATGGAAAAAGATGCCGTAAGAATTTTGGCCGTTAACAATAAAATTTTTTTTTTTAAATCCAGACGACATGCATTTAACGGATGTCAGATTTCATTGAAAAATACATCCCTACCCCCTACCAAAACGTAACTAATAACTGATACATCAAAATACAGCGATAATGAACTCGGAAACACCCCTTGTCTGGATGAATGGATTTCTCTGTATCCTTGGAAACGTGAATTAGGATTTTTGCTGTGTCTTTAAAACCCAGTAATTTTAAAGTTACTCCAAAATTCGCTTGAGGATGAAATGGAACTAATGTCTTTAATTTAATTACACAATTAAATTCGGAGCTTTCAGCTTCCATTTTTGAAACATGGTTAGAATTGTGTAGCGAAAAAAAACATTTTAAATCAATTAATATATATATATGTGCGTGTGTGTATGCGTATGTGTGTGTGTGTGTGGAAAGTGTGTGTATATAAATATGAATATATATATATGTATAATATATATATTATTATTTATATATTATATGCGTGGTACTTATTAGAAAGCGCTCAATATCAGAGATAGAGCTAACATATTTGGTTGGATTGATGTGAATTTGTGAGCAACGATCACAAAAGCGTGAAAACCAGGTCACAAACTCACATGTCCAACCATATATATATATATATATATATATATATATATATATATATATATATATATATATATATATATATATACTGTGTACGATGGATAAATTGTCGTCTAATTTACGTAAAAATGAAAATAACACTGACACCTCAATTTTAACTGATATATTTACCAAACTTACAAAAAAATATTTGGAAATACTAAAAAGTAAATTTATTCAATAAAATCGCCACTGGCTCCAACTACGGCCTCCAGATGACTTCGGAATCTCTTGCAAATCTTCTGGACTCTCTCCTTGTTAAAGTTGAAGAATGCTGCCATAATTCTTGCCTTCAGTTCATCTGTGGGTTTACAAAGAGTTTTGTTGGTCACTCGCTCAACTATGCCCCACACATAATCAAGGGTGTTGCATTCTGGGTAGTTAGGTGTCCAGATGTAAGGGGTGATGTGGTTGCAGAAATTGTCTGACAGCCAAGTCTGGGTTCTCCGGCTTGTTTGACATGTGTTATGGGGTCCACCCCTTTTTCATACAAGTGGACTCGCCCAGTGTGTACTTGGACTGCTGCCAGTGAATACCCGAGTCAGAGAGTAATACAGTGAGAGATTGAGATTGAGATTGAGAAAGTGAGGTAACCGCTTTGTAGGAGTCACAGTTGCGAGCACGTAGACTCAGAAGGAAGTCCTACTTCGATACTGAATTTCCCAGACTGTATATATATTATTATTGCTACTAACCGCATTTCTGGATCTACTAACCGTATTACCAATTGTATTATTACGTCAATACAATTATTTGCTATATTTCATTCTTGCGTTTGTCATTCATTTCGAGACCGGATTTCATCCCGGGATCCACAACAACATGGTGCAGAGTCTTGTCGCTAAACTTAGAATCTTCCAGCAGCCACCCTCTTAAACCAGAGCGACAAAACCTTCTCAAGGTACGCAATGTAGGTTTTCGTGTTGAGTCTGAACCCCTCACCAACAAATTGTGTTCTTTTCTTATCAGGGTTAGTTTTCCAAGCTGCCGTACCTTCGGAATTCCCATTAGACTCATCCAACTCTTTCCGAATCCTCTGTACTGTCCTCAGATGGTCACCCAAACACTATCATGTCCGTATTGGAGCCTCCGATGCGAATGCCAAGCAGTACAGCATGCCATTTCCAAATTTCTAATGGAGTGAATTGCGTCATGGTGCTCTTCTTCTCACAGACGGTGCCCAACGGTGAGCTTACTTACTTACTGTGCAGTCGACAAAATCCAAAACGAACAACGCGCATGCGCGAAATGAAAAACCTAAAATGGTGACGATTTACCCATCGTAGAATTGTGTACATTACAGCACTTTTTCCTCATTTTTAATGATAGTTTTCAAAGTAATATATACTCATTAAGGAATATATATTTAATTTAGTCAATTCAAATATATCTATCTATCTATCTATCTATCTATCTATCTATCTATCTATCAACTTCATATCTACCTATCAACTTCATATCTATCTATCTATCTATCTATCTATCTATCTATCTATCTATCTATCTATCTATCTCAGTTCAATATCTATCTGTCTATCAAGTTCATATCTATCTATCTATCTATCTATCTATCTATCTATCTATCTATCTATCTATCTATCTATCAGTGTTTGCACTTGCGCATATGCCTCTGTGTTTGTGCCGATACATTATCTTGAACACAGTTGAAAATGTTCCACTTTTTCGCTTTTGCACTCATTTCAACCAAATACTCCTTTTGAAAATCAAACTAGACTTCATACCACGTGATGTTCTAGCGTGTAACCACATTTCAGAACTTTTCTTGCTGAAATAGTCCTAAGTTTTTCTTTAAACCACACAAGAATTACATGTCTTTACTCTACATTTACCTCTCACCAAAATCTCGTTAAGAATGGTGCGAATAATCTTCTTTTTAAATATTTACACTATTTACTTGGTTCAAATTGTTGCCCTCATCTTTACTGTCAAATTTACGACGCTTCGACCGTAATACGTCCCGGTCTGCTTCAGGTAATTTTTGTTGGCATTTCGAATCGAAGTCTTTATTTAGTCCACGGTGGGTAAATTGTTCTAATTTCACGTGACATGCCTTTGGATATCTCAGTTTTAGTTAATTAGCCTTGATAACCCTTTCAAGTTTTTGTTCTTTCCGCTGGGGCTAGGGACTGAACTCACAAATCTTTGGGTCAAGCCACTTTTTTGGATTAATCAACCAACGCTTTTATCCACGTCGAGAATGTAAATAATGTAAATAGTCACAGAATCTCATCTCATAAATATAGACAGGTGTCCTTTTTAAATATTAAGCGTTTTCTCAAATATCATTTGCCAAAAACAGTGGTGAGTGTTATACATCGATGCGCCTTATATAGCAGAAAATCATTTTCATGTTCATATCCGTGACATATATATATATATATTTCCTAAAGGAATAACTCTGGTTTTGTATTGAATGTTTCTAGATACAATATCTATCAAAAAGCATATAAGTATGCACACACACACGCACACACACACACACGAAAACACAGACAGACACAGACACACACACACACACACACACACACACACACACACACACACACACACGAAAACATAGACACACACACATATATATTTTGTAGCGTTTTCTCTTTGTGTAGTGATTTCTTGCCCCCTCTCTCTCTTTATATATATATATATATATATATATATATGTGTGTGTGTGTGTGTGTGTGTTTGTGCGTGTTTGTGTGTGTGTGGACCCTCTCTTGATATATATACATGTATGTCTGTGTGTGTGAGTATGTATATTCTCACTCTTTCTATATATATATATATATATATAGATAGATAGATAGACAGATATATAGATATGTGTGTGTGCATGCCTCAGAACTTATATTCACTCACCGAACTCTCTCTCTCAGTCTATATATATATATATATATATATATATATATATATATATATTTTCCATGTATGGATGTGGCACAAGGCCGAATGTAAGGGGCACCCAGTGAGGATCGAACTCACCTACTCATTCGTAATTGTTGTGCGAGACAAGCTTGCTAACCATTACACCACCTTGAGGTGCCCAATATATATATATATGTATGTATGTATGTATGTATATGTCCCTGTGTGTGTGTCAGAACACATATTCATTCACCGAGCTTCTGTGTTTGTGTATGTGTATTCTCTTTCACTGTCACTTTGTCTGTCTGCCTGTATGTCTCTGTCACAGTCTCTCTCTGTCTGTCTCTTTCTCTCTCTCTCTCTCTCTCTCTCTCTCTCTATATATATATATATATATATATATATATACATGTGTGTGTGATATAACGATATGTCATTTTGTATAATTTAATATATCATCAAAAATTATTTAGAAATATATGAAAAACTGGAACGTTTTTTTGTGGCGTGTTTCATCTGTTAGGATTTCATCGGAATTGGCTTTGTTGATGTTACCACGTCTACACATGCGCTCGAAACGAAAGAAGCAGATAGTTTCAGAGAGAGTCGGGGACAAAAGTGATGGGGAGAAAAAGAAAAAAGAATAAGAATACAGATGAATTTGGCTTCATTCAAAAACAAATTTTCAAAAATATTCTTTCAAAAAAAATGTTCTTTCCAAAAATTTTGAAACTACCAGCGTCTCTCGTGCGCATGTGTAAACGTGACAACATAAACAAAGCCCAGTCCGATGAAATCTTAACGGATAAAACGTGTCTCAAAAACTTTTCCAGTTTGTCATATTTCTCTCTCTCTCTTTTCTTATTCTTTTTTATTTTGATTTTAACAATGCTACACTCATAAAAAAAGAAAATAACTCACTCAGAAGGAAAATTCTAGAGAGTGCCGCCATAGAATGTTACCCAAATATTAATCTACGCCCAGGTTTTTCCCCCATTTCACCTTTCTTAACAAAATTACTGCTCTTACAAACAAATGTACACAACAGATTCATAAAATCGAAAGAAAATAGTTGAATACATCAACACAGATATAATGACAATATTCTCCACACGTGACAAATACTGACGTTATTTTCAGTTAACAATATGAAAATAGCGTTTCTCTACATTCCAGTTGCTAGGAACATTCTGTCTTTTGTTTTTATTAGTTACCTTGTTCAATTAAATTCATTTCGTATTTTGCTTTGATATAGTCCACATTAGACGAAACGCGTCAGCAATTACTAGTTTTCCTATTGTCATTTTTATTCATATATATATATATATATATATATATATATATATATATATATATATATATTTTTATTCACATATATATATATATATTTTTATTCACATATATATATATATATATATATATATATATGTTTGTATGTGTGTGTGTGTGTGTGTGTTGCGTATAAAGTATAGAATAGCTGAAATTTGATGAATGATTTTGAGGATTGACGTAATGTGTTCACGTCCGTTCCGCCATTGTCCCTCTTATTCTGTTTTCTGTTATTTGAGAAAAAAAATGGATTTCTCGAAATTACATCGCAAATTGAGACATCCGCCTCTATTCACACGAATTACACATTTGTGGAGTACCAGAGAATGGGCCGCTTGAAAATTTTGGATAACAAAAAAAACGAAAGTGAATTCCTAATAATTCTTGAAAGAAAGAAAGAAAGAAAGAAAGAAGGAAAGAAAGAAAGAAAGAAGGACAAAGAGAGAGAGTGGATAAGAGCAAGAGACAGAACGAGTTGCCGTGAATGTTGGGCACTTCGATATAGTAAAATAGTTACAATCTTGAATGAGTAGTGATTTCCTTGCACACTAGGTGCTCCATACTTGCGGCCTTGTGCCACATCTAAGCAAATCGCTGTTTCCTGTCATAAGTTGCAGTTTTTATTTATTGATTTATTTTTGAAAACCATAAACACTACACAAAATTATTCTTTAATATTTAGCAAGTGGTAAAATTTTCATGATTAGTTAAAATAATTTTCTGAATGCCTTTTTCGAGTTTGGGGTTTCGCTCACAATATTTGTGTGAATTACAAGCTTTTTAATTTGGTTACTGAAGACAAAAGGCAACCTACATTTTTTTTTGCATATTTGAAAGTTACATATAAATACTTTAGTAGGTTACTTTTACATTTGAGATAATGGAGGTAAATCAGAAAATATTTGAAACATTGAAGTGGACGGTACACAAAAAGCCTAACTATAAAAAAGAATTGAATTAACTTTCGGCCATTTCTTCTTCACTCATTCGCCTTTTAAATATGTCTCGCTTGATTTTATGCTTTCCAAAAATAAGCAGCATTAACTATTAGGTTGGTGCAAAAATAATGACGTAATAATGTCGTTTTTTAACGTATTTTTAACGTCAAAAAACGACATTATTACGTCATTATTTTTGCACCAACCTAATATTTGTTAACTAACAGGTGGATGTTTGAAACTGAGGTTACGTAACAGGTTTGTCGGGATATAAGAATTCTGTTGTTGTGGGGTGTAAGGAGAGACATATCTTGTCAATTCGGCATCGTGACCCCGAAGAATCAAAAATGAAACAGAAAATTTGGGTTCTATCCTTTTATACCACTTCATACAACGTCTCCTTCCTGGTGTCAGGAGAATTCCCCTGGCAAGCAAGTTGGGGTAATTTTCTCGCAGACGTGATGTGGCTTCCCTCTGTCTTTTCTAGAAATATTTTCATGGCAACTGCTCTGACAAGCTTCTTTCCCTGGTGCCACGATTACATGAATTTAAGCGTGCTACTTGATTGGCAATTAGGTCCCACCCTTCTGCTGTTGAAATAGTTAAAGGTAACCGCCAATTCTACTCCAACAGTTTATTTCCTCGCACTTCCCGACAGTGGAACTCCCTTCCTGTTACTTGCTTTCGTGATAGCTACAATTTTCAAAAACTTAAATGTAACGTCAATCGCCATCTTCCGTTTTTTCATCCCTCTCCTTTTTTCCTTTCCTAAATCCCCCTACACTCATTCTTTTTCTCTCTCTTTCACTCTCCGTAACCTTCTGTGTGCTAGTAGCACTTCTGTCTTCCTTGAGGGGAAATGCTTAAAAAAAAACATGCCTTGTTTGCCGTCATGAGATTTTAATAAGAGGAGAGTCCCAAATGAAGTATTAAAAATTCAAAATTTTAATAAACATAAACGCTACCATATATTCCTGGAACAAGAGGACTAAGTCGATTTTAAAGGAACATTAGAAGATGTCTTAGTGTTATGGCATCTTACCCATAATAATAATAGACTATTCCATACTTAATAAATACTGCGCCTCAGCAGTAGTTCAAGTTGAGTAGTAGTTCGAGTCGAGTCAGAGGCAGTCCGAAACAGAGTCGCGTTCAGACAATTACTGCAAGACATTGGAATAGTGATACTGGTCGAGACTAGATTGTTCTCTCTATTAAACCTGATTGTTCATACTAACACTTTCTACTTCTCTGTATATATTCCTGTTTGTAATATATCTGTGTTATTCCATATCCGTGTTCGAGTTCTTCTTTATTGGTTCTGCCTTGGACTATCACCATGGTACAAGAAACCGGACCATAACACTTAGAAAAACTAAGCAAACTATTAAGGAAGAGAAAACGTTCTTTGAAAACAGACAGAACAGTGCTCAACTAAATGAAGAGGAAACTCGAGGCAATAGAGATGTGATTCTACAGAAGGATGC